TGGGGCCCTGCCCCCGCTCCTGCTTGCTGTTTGTCCTGCCAGCACGTCCAAGTCATGGGGCTGGGATCTGCCCGTGTGCCAGAGGACAGCTCCAGGACCACAGCAGGCTCCTGCCACGGGAAAGGGCTTCCCCAGCTGCTCACAGAGGGATGTATCCTGACCAGGAGCTATGCTCCCTTTTTGCTGGACCAGGGATGCTCTGTGCTACAGTGGGATGCTGTGTGGGCCACTCGTGCCAGAGCTGGGTGGTGGGGAGGAGGTAGCCTTGGGAAGCCCACTGTTGGCAAAAGGGCTTCCCCAGTCGCACCTTTCTGCCCTCAGATCGAGCAGAGGATCGAGCCAGCCAAGCGAGCAGCTCACAGCGTATCCAAGAGGCTCCAAGCATGCCTGCAGGGGCAGTGTGGCTCCGAGATGGACAAGCGAGTGGTGAGTAGAGTCCTCCACTGCAGCCTGCACTCACCCCAGCACTGGGGATGCAAGGGGGATGCCAGGCTCCTGCTTGGCTGGATTTGCTGAAAGGTGGCCCAAAGCTGTGTGCAGCAAAGGTCCCATCTCCAGCAGTGGCCACCAGCACATGCTTGGGGAGAGCAGAGCAGGGCAACCCTCCCAACCATCACTCAAGACACTCCTGAAACAGAGACCGTGTCTTTATGTTGAATAACCCTCCAAAGCCCTCCCCAAACCTCTGTGAACATCTGGCGCCCATGGTGCCCTGCAGTGAGGAGCACCATAGCATGGCACCACAGTGATGCCACCGCATCCTCCTCAGTTTGAACCCAACACCATTCCCAGCGGGTGCTCACCAGCCCTCATCTGAGAAGCAAACAATGGAACCCCCAGCACTTTCCTTAGCCTCCCACTTCCCCTTCCCCACCCCCCCCAATTTTGTGAGCACCACTTTTCTTGGCAACCTGACAAGCCCCAGCTTGGCTTAATTATTCTTGGTGATTAAACTGCTTCATGTATTTGAAGCCATGGCAGGGTGGGCTGTGCTTGGTGAGTGTCACCGTCTTCCACATGGGTCTATTTGAGAGAAGGCTGGAGGTTTTCTAACCAGCTATAGAGCTCTGGTGCATTGTTTAGCTCACTGGATCCTGGCTCTGGGTGAAGGAACATCCAAAGGTTCCTTCCTCATGCCCTAGGACCAATGGAGCTGGATGGGCCAGGGGAAGATACGGGATCCAGTGAAGGGTCTGGCCACTTGCTCCCATGCCATGGTGACATGCTTCATGGGGAGGGAGCTGCCACATGCCAGCTCACCATCCCTTTCCGAAATCCTTGTCTCTGTGCAGAAGAAGCTGCCCTTGATGGCTCTATCCACAGCAATGGCCGAGAGCTTCAAGGAACTGGACATGGAGTCCAGCCTTGGGTAAGTGCCAGTGGGAGAACGTACCAGAGGCGGCCCCAAAAGATGCTGTCAGTGCCATTGTTTTGGCTCGGGGGCTCCCATGGGCAAGCTGAGCTGTCAAACCCTGTCCTCAGAGAAAATACTGGCATTGAAGTGGGAGAGGGGACAGCCAGCACCTTCAGCCTCCAACTGCAGAGGGGACCAGGCGCTGGCTCAGTGTCCCACATGAGTACTGGTACACAGGGGGTGCTGGGTCAGAGTGGCATGGTTCCAGCCCACAGTCTCTCCCATGCAGGAAAGCCCTGGAGATGGGCTGCTGCATACAGAGCTCACTGGCCAAAATCCTGGCCGAGTTTGAGATCACCCTGGAGCGCGATGTCCTGCAGCCACTCAACAAGCTCAGTGAGGTAGTCCTGGATGCCCTCCTGGCTCTGTTCTCCCATCCCTCCACCCCTTCCCACATCCCCAGGCTTTCCCCGCTCACTCTGGGCCCTCTCTCCCCAGGAGGAGCTTCCCATCATCCTGAAGCACAAGAAGACCCTCCAGAAGCTGATTTCTGACTGGAACACAATCAAGAGCCGGTATGGGGCACAGTGTGGCCAGGGAGCTAGGGTATCGAGGCACTCAGGATGGGAGACAGAGGAAGATGACTGCTCTGGGGAGCAAATTTCCAAGTACCATGCTGGGTTTCTCTGGAAGAGCAGCACAGCCATGGGTCATTTCCACACCGTGAGTCATGAAGGCTCATCTCAGGAATGGGGCTCGGGAAGGGTCCTGCAGGCCCAGGGTGTTTCAGTCAGCCTTGCTGAATGCTCCCCAGCTTAACCAGGTCGCACCCCTTTGTGCAGCACCATCTTCTGCGAGGTGCTGGCCTAGGAAAACCACTGCAGGGCAGTACCTGGACTTCCTGTCCTCCTCATGATTCCCATACCCCTTATGCACCCATGCCACCCCACGTGCCCTGGCACTGAAGCTGCGGGTGTGACTCTTCTCTCCCACCCTAAAGGCTGAGCCAAGCTGCCAAGAGCTCCAGTAACAGTGCTGGCACTGGTGCTGGCCCGGGGGCATCTTCTGCTGCCAACAAACTGGAGATCTTGAAGGAGGAGGAGGAGGAGTTGAAGAGGAAGGTGGAGCAGTGCAAGGTGAGAACGTCACTCGCTGTCCCCCGCGGGGCAGCTCCAGGGCTGCAGACCTGCTCCCCTCCACTGATTCCATCCAAAGTGACCCTGTGCTGAGACAGATGCAGCAGCCGGTATGTCCTGCCCTCCGCAAGCAAACCAGCCCCTCAAGGAGCAGAAACAGGGAGATGCCCAAAGCCAGCAAGAAGAAAACGGGTTAAGGGTTCGAAGCACAAGCTACTGCAGAGAGGAGGCTTCAGGGGCTAGAGCAGGGAGCTCATGGGGTTCCCTTGGGTTGGGAACTAGCCAAGCTGCGGTCTGTGCTCAGTGGCAAGGACGTTCACATCAACTTTATCCACTCCTGCCCCATTTCTCTGGAAAGCCCAGTGCCTTGTCTGGCAGGGCCCACAGGCTCACCAGAGCTGGAGGTGCAGGGCCCTTTTGTCCCTGAGACACTTGTGCCAGGACCCTGACTGTAGAGGAGGTCACTGCCACTATCCAAATGCAAGCAATGAAGGCAAGGAGAAATGCCCCCATGGTCCCAGCCTGCCTCCCCACTGCACCCAGAAACCCTGTGTGGACGACGCACAGTCTGGATGAGAGGGTGTTGTGAAGATGCCCCCTCTTCCTCAGGTGCCAGGGAGCGGGTGGAAGATTGCTCTTCTCTCTGTCTCCCTTCCCAGGATGAGTACATGGCTGACCTCTATCACTTCTCCACCAAAGAGGACAACTACGCCAGCTACTTCATCAAAGTAAGTCCTTTCTCACACTCCTCCTCAGCGTGTGAATGTCTCCTGGGATATGTCTGAGCCATGCCTTGTCCCCATCCCTGCCAAGCCCTCCACCTAGGGCAAGGGACAGCCCCAGGCTCCACCAAATGCCTAAAGCTAGCCTTGCTTCACATACTGCAGGTTAATGCCACCACTAGCACCAACTTGTCCTGATGCTGCTCCCTCTCCAATTTGTCCTCTACCCATCACTACAGACATGGCCCATGGACCGCAGGGGGGTTCCCCTTGCAGCTCCCCCTTTGCCCT